AGCCTTCAGAAACTTCCTTCAACAATACCCCCAATGATAGTAATAAACATGTATGTATTCAAGTGAAAACGATAATTAATCCATTAAAATATGAAAATGTTTCATGCTTGGAAATCATATACAGAAATATGATAATTAGGAATCAAATCGGTAATATATGGTAAATCATATGTCATATAAATAGTATTTAAAAATCAGCTATTATGTCGTAAAAATATTCAGAATTATCACAAATCTAAAATAGTTCAAATTGGTAGTTTAAAACAGTAATGTAACACCATCAGGAAACACACATGTATCGATCTGAGTAGCCTGATAGGGAAGCCTACTACTAAGTTAGTTGATCACGATCAGTGGCAGAGCTAGATCATACAAATCGGAAAATCCATATCGAAATCCTAATATGAATAATATTAACCTTTATTTAAATAATTTGCGGAAACCTACAGGTAACTCTCGTAGAACGCGAATCGAGTGGATCTGACGGACGAAAAACACCAGACCAACGAACCCTCGGTCAGGTAAAACACGAATACCTTCATAAAATATCTTATTCGATCAATTCCATAACCAAATCTCAAATAAATAAGCAAAAATGCTAAAAATACTAAACATTTTTGGGTTAACGAGCTCAATTCAGGGCTTTCGGATCAGAATTTGGCAAAACGTACTTTGGAATCAGACTCAGGACGTCAAAAAATATAAAATATGACTTTTTAAAATTTTTGGCTTTTTTGTCAAAGCCAACAGTAAACGGTCAGTCAACGTTGGACCGAGTCGAATCGAGTCGGGCATGCAGGTCGGGTCAGTGGGTCGAGTCGGACACGGGTCAGGTCGGATCGACCCATTCCAAGCAATCCACCAAGAGGTGGACTTTCCCCACGTGCAGGGGCGATACGTGGGGGTGCGTGCGATATCCTAGAGTGTCAGAAAAATTCCATAAAAATCGTACAACTATTTTAAGGGGTTTTGAGACATTTACCAAACTCGGTTCACAACAGTGAATGGCGGAGAGCTCCATTCCAAAATGTCAAAAACTTGATATTCCCACCCCCTCACACATCAGCGACAATGGAGATAAGAAGACACCGGTGGACTCGGGATGACGCAAGGAACATGATGGTGTGGGAGGTGTCGAAAACGGGGCAACAATCGACGACGAAACGAAGATCAACGATTTGTTTCTAAAAAAAGAAATTTTAAAGAGAGATAATTTAATAAAAAAATTCCCCCAGATTTGGGTTTATATAAACCCTTAAAAAGGAAAATGGAAAAATCATGTCATAGGTCCTCCATCTTTAGTTGTTTTCTGAATTTGGATATGAATTTAATCAAAATTTCACTTCGATCCCCGAATTCAATTAAATCAAAATGTTAGGCCCTATTTTGGGGTGTGACAAAACTTGTAATTTGATTCGAACTTAATAATTAAACAAAAAATTTCATCAAAGCTTACAGAATTTCCAAAATTGTCCTAATTTACCCAAGTGATGCTTCTACATTTACTAACTTCCAAACAAGTCCCCATTTTCTTAGGACCTTACGAATTCCAACCCGAACTTTTACCAAATTTTCAATTTGGATCCAAATAAATTTCCAACTTAATTTTCCAGCATCTCAATACTAAATATTATCATTGAATACTCCAAATCTAACATTTAGACAATAATGTCCCACAATCCTTAAAACTTGTAAACTAGTCTTTTTTCACTTTCAAGGTTCCAAATTAATCCAAATCAATCTCCAAATCATATATAACACTTCTAATATTATTTCTAGACTATAGAAAATTTTTCAACATTTTCCCCTAAAAGTTTCCCTATGGCTGAATCCATCATGTCACAATAGGTGAATTTTTTTGTTCAATTTCAAGCATAAATTTAACCTCCTATGATTAAATTCATGTATTTCCCATCATCACAACATTAATTTGAATCACAATCCAATTATTTTCCATAAACCCTAACATGCCCAAACCTTATATATGCATGTACAATTAATTTTAATTATTGTACATGCTTTAGAAATAATCACTAACACCAAAAACATAAAAACTTTCATCAACTCTTTAAAATCACTAAGCTCTTCATAACCCTAATCATCAAATTTCAGCACACAATCATATTCACGATGAAATATTGGTACCAAATGATAGAGAATTTCATGTAGATTAATTCTCTATCTAATCATTTAATCCAAAAATCAAGTGTATAACTTAAAAATCAAAACAAAATTTTTTCTTACCTTGAGCAAGGTGGTTCGACCAAGAGAAGAACAACAAGATGAAAATGGCTAATTTCTTGGTTATTCAACATTAAATTAGCCTTTACACTTGTCTTTAAATTATTATAATTGAATTTTTTATTCAATTATGAGAAATTCCAAAAATACCATTAATGAATCTTAAATATTACAAATTGCCATTTCCATTTCATCCATTAAAATATTCTTTGGTCAAAGATGAATCAATTTCGCTTTGAGTTTCTACTTTGGCTATGCAATTTTTGAAAATTGCATTTTCGTCTCTAAAACTCCACTATTCTGAGCCAAGTTTCTTTGATCTAAAATATGTAAATAATATTTCCAACCATTTTATAATATCCTTCAATTTTTTTGTAAAATTTAGGTTCGATCCGATTATCCGATGTCAATATCAAACTTTATTGCTTTATTGTTTTTAACATAACTCTTGTACTGAAAATCTAATTCCCACGAAAATCCTTGTTTTAGGCCAACCTGCTTATTTATGGACTAAAATATATAAATTTTCAAAATTATATTTTGGTCCTTAAACTTTTCAAAGTTTTCACTTTAGCCACTAAACTTTCAAAATTACATTTCAATCACTAGACAAAATTTAGGGTATTACATATATATATTTTTTATTTTTCTTGTCGATGCACTTGGTAATTAAGGGGCTAGAAGTGTTACCACAATTGGCCTAGATTTAAGTCCTCACTTTTCTATTTTTATTTCTATCATTATTTTTGGATAATTTTAATTTTATTACCCAAGAATGCAGTATTCTACTACATCAAAAATCCCATAAATGGGATGAGGACAGCCTACTTACAACAAAGATGGGTGGTCAACACCCCAGCTTTTACAAAGGTAAATATTGATACTATCTAATCTATTTATATTCCTTCCTCTTAATTGAATACCAACAATCTCTTTAATAGAATTCGTAATTTCTTTGACACTTCTTTTGTTATCTCGGTACAATCTTTTATTTCTTTCTTCCCTTATGGAGTAGATTAAAGCACACCAAGCGAGTTTCAAGATTTTAATAAGGAGTGACTTACCTTTCCAAGAATCATTGGCCCAGTCTAACATGTTAGTCCATGGTAAAGTTGGATTGTTTAGGCCGGAGAGATTATGGATAGACTTCCATAAGGAAACTGCCAAAGAACACTCACTAAATAGGTGGTCTCTAGTCTCCGTAAATTCATTGCATATTATGTATGTGCCATCAGTAACGATTCCCATTTAAGAAGCCTCTCCTTAGTTGGGAGCCTATTCAGAATTGTCATCCATGTAATCATGTTGTGTTGGGAATGTGAAGAGGAAACCATATCAATTTGTGCCATGAGACTTTATCTCCTTTTACCCCTAGTTCTTTCCAGATATCTTTTGTTTGAGTTGCTCCTGTAGATAAAATTGAGATGGTCACCGCCCTTTGTTTCAATATATAATATATAAAAATATTTTAATTGATTCCTAAATATATAAAAAAAATATTAACTATAATCTATAAATTTAGTACTTGACTAGAATAAAAGATTTTAAAGTTAATGCTCAAATTAATGCATTAAACAAATTAAGTACAGAATCAGGATCAACATTAAATGAAAATACAAGGAAACAAATCATATACAAGTAGTGACCAAAATGAAAGAAAACAAAACAGGATGACAAAGCCGCGAATACTTAACTTTACAAGGATTCACACCCTATTTATACCAATTTTGTTAACTGCCTTGTAAACACTTCCGTTAAATGTTAACGACAGGTGGTTATGTTGAAACCATTTAAATAGTTCAGTAGTCGTATTGACGCAAATTTAAAAATAGTGGTCATTTCACGACCCGACCCTTAGTTATGTAGTCATTTATCTAGTTTATCTTAATTTTTTTTATAAATCTAAAATAAATATGAGATAGTATTTGTTCAAACACTATAAATTATTTGATAATAAATATTATTTAATAAATTTTTAAATAAATAATAAAACTAAATTTGTAATTTTAAATAAAAAAGCAAGTGGAAAATCAACATTACAATATATAAATGGATAAATAAAGTAAAGATGGGTTTGAATTTAAATTCGCTGGTTTTTATTATGTCATTAAATCGGGAACTTGTGGATTAAATAAAATTAATAAGTTAAAAGGTTTATTTTTTTAAGTGATGAGTGAGAACAGTTGGGCATTTCAATGATGCAATGTCACCTTCACCATTTATTGGATATGTTCCAAGGACGAAAATGCAACTGGGTGGGACAAAGATTGTTTTGCTTTTATGCTTCTTTGCACTTTATATGAATATTGATTAATATTTATTATATACTTTTTTTATAAAAAATACTTAAATTAAAGGATAAATTATGTATTTAGTCACTCACCTATTTTTACATTTTCGTTTTAATCACTACTAATTTTAAAAAAAATATACTTAACATTATATTTTGGTTCTGTTTTGATTATCTATTGTTAAAAAAAATAAATTGAACTGCTAACTTAATTAATTTATGAATATTTTATATTGATCTTCAAATTTTTTATTTTTTTATTTGATCTTTAAATTATGCTTTTATTCTAAATTAAGTTTTAAATTTTACATTGATCCAAACTGTGGAGCATGGTAAAAGCTGAATCAAAGCCCATTTACGACTATACCACTCCTTGCTTTTGATCCAGAAAATAAGTCAAATAAACCCAACAACCGAAGCAAAAAAATATATGAAGCCTTAAGCTTTATTGGATGCCATCTGCTTTCTCTTCCAAGTTCCAACCCACCGTTCTTGTTATTCTCCTTTTCCTTTTCTTGTCGGGGTCTTGGTCTGAATTTATAATCGTCTACTCGACTGTGGTGTTTTCATAAATTTCAAACAGAAATGGAACCCGAAATGTTGGTAATGCCGCCCCAAGTTTCCATAAAACCCGAGGTGGATGCTGCGGTAGGCGGCGTTGAGAGCTCCAAGACGCTTTTTCCGCCTCCTAAGGTCGTTGTTTTGGCTGACCTTAATGTCAACCCTCCTGAATCCGAAGACCATGATTCTCTACTGCTCCCTGCTCCTGACTTACCAGGTTCTACCCCCTTTTGCTTCGATTCCTCCTATGTTTTGTGTAATTGTTGGAGCAATTATTGAACTTTCTTGGTTTCTTCAATACTTGGTTTTAATTCCAATTTATGTATTTTTTTTCTGGAAGTCGAGTGTTATATTTCGGAATTTAGAGCAGTTTAATTTTATTTTGGTTTTGCCTTTAAACTGCTTCAATAGCAAAAACCCTGAAAACACTTTGCTTTAATAGTTTAATTTACATGACGTAGGCTAACTAATGATGAAAGCAGTCAAGAGAAAAGCACCTTAATTTCCAAAGACAGTGATGCTGTGGAAGGAGCTGTTAAAAAGTTAAACAAGAAATGCCGGTCGAGAATTAGTAAGGCAGATTCTTTACTCGATTGCGGAGCGGATGCTGATGGGGATCAGCCTATTCAAGGGACTCACTCGTCTCGTGAGGAAAAAGTCAGCAGCCTCAAAACTGTTAGTCCCATCCCTTCATTATTTGACATCATGCAGTTGTAAGCTTGGTACTATAGTTGATGGATATCACATTGTGGTGCGTGTATATTCGGTTGAGGGTGTACTCTAATGGGTTTCAGTAATCAACTTCTTCCAACTTGGTAAATTTGTTTACTGACACTGCAGATGTTTTTTATTTTTGTTACTTTGCAATTGTTTTTATATTCTTTTAGGGTTTGGTGCATGTTGCAAGGAAGATGCCAAAAAATGCGCATGCTCATTTCATTCTTGGTCTAATGTATCAAAGGCTCGGCCAGCCTCAAAAGGTTTGGAAATTAACTGACTTATCAGGCACCATAGTTTTGTGAATATACAGTATTCCTATTTCAGTCAATACCCCTTTTTATTCTTCTTCTCCCCTTTTCAAAGGCAATTTCGGCATATGAGAAGGCAGCAGAGATATTGCTCCGCAGTGAGGCAGAGATTGCACGGCCAGAGTTGCTTTCCTTGGTTCAAATTCACCATGCCCAGGTGCAGTTAAAAGTTGATTTCATTTTCTCTTTGGCCTTAATAATAGCACGATATAGTGAAAAATATTAGTATAAAAATCATATGCTTCCTAATCTAGCCTCGGTCAATATGCAGTGTCTTCTCCTAGAGAATTCAGCAGATAACGTTTTGGATAAAGAGCTTGAACATGCAGAACTTGATGAGATCCTCTCTAAATTGAAGGAGTCAATGCAGTCAGATATTAGACAAGCAGGTGTATGGAACACCCTAGGCTTGATTCTTCTCAAAACTGGTCGACTGCAGGTATAACTACAAAATTATCATTGGTTGAATAGTATATTTCTCATTACTTGATCTGATTCGAAGTTACTTCTGATGTAGAGTGCCATCGCAGTTTTATCATCTTTATTGGCTCTTGCCCCCGACAACTATGATTGCGTTGGAAACCTTGGGATTGCTTATCTCCAGAGGTAAGATTGTCTCGTTATGGAAATGAAAAGGCGATAATGGAATGCTGAAGTGCGGGTTGGAGAGGATAACTTTGATTTTTTATCTTTCTCATCGACAGATTGCTATGCATTCTAACTTTGATTCTTTATCTTTTTTTATTGATGGAAAGCACTAATCGCTATGCATTTGTTGATTCATTAATGTGGTTATGTTGTCAACATATGTTGTATACATTCTAACTCGTGATTTATGTTTCCAGTGGAAACTTAGAGCTTTCAGCTAATTATCTCCAAGATTTGATCGTTAAAGACCAAAACCATCCGGCAGCTTTAATGAACTATGCTGTAATTCTTCTTTGTAAACATGGTTCAGTTGTTGCTGGTAAGCTTGTGAGAGTGTAAATTCTTATATCCCTAGCCTTCCGATTTGCTGTTCGGAAGAATTTCAAATGCAGCAACGGATGTGTTCAATCATTCGTGTAATGTTGCTTTTGATTATAATTTGTAAATGATGTAGACATGCAAGTTAAAAGAAAGTAGTTTGAGTTCATTCTTTTCTCTTCTCAGGTGCTGGTGCAAATGCCAGTGAAGGAGCTTCCAGGGATCAGTTTGCAGCCATCAATGTTGCGAAGGAGTGCTTGTTAGCTGCAGTAAAATCTGATCCGAAAGCAGCACATACATGGACGAATCTAGCCAATGCATATTATTTGATCGGTGACCATCGTAGTTCCAGCAAATGTTTGGAGAAGGTGCTAACAGATTATTGATACAGTTGCTTATAGCTTCTTTTGTTTAGGTTTGTCCATTGGTGGTCCTTTAGCTTCTGACAGAAGGCCTCTTTTTTCCCTTTTCTATAAAATAACGGATGCCCTATTTTTAGTTTTCACCTGCTGCTGCTGTGCTTTTAATACAAAATTGCCATTAATATAGTTACAAATGCATGACTTTTGCTTGAACTTATTATGTCATATTGTTTGTGGTCTTCAGCAAGTTTTAGTTTATTCTTGCTTTTGTTTATCATTGAACAGGCTGCAAAACTGGAACCAAATTGCATGTCTACAAGATATGCCGTTGCAGTCCATCGAATCAAGGACGTTGAAAGGTCACAAGATCCCAGAGAACAACTTTCTTGGGCAGGCAATGAAATGGCATCAGTACTAAGAGAAGGAGATGCTGTACCAATTGAACCCACCATTGCATGGGCCGGACTTGCTATGGTTCATAAGGCTCAACATGAGATTGTGGCAGCTTTTGAGACGGAACAAAATGAGTTAGTCGAGGTCGAAGAGCGAGCTATCATCAGTTTAAAGCAGGTATGATTTTCAATTTAGCTTTTCTACAAATTTAATAGTCACGTTTTTTTTAAAATGGTTAAGAACTTAAGATGCATTTGTGTGTCCATCACCGATATCTAATATGTTCGGGAATGCGAATGGAGATATAATTGTCTGAGGACCCTTCAAATGCTTGAAAAAACTTAGATTTTTTTAACATACAAGCATCCAACACTGGCATCTAAGTTCAAGTAATTAATACAATTATGTCTAACTGATGGATTTAGAGCTTTAAATAGTATGTAACCGTATTGTGCATCTACTGGCCCGATTTACTCGGGGAAATGTTTATCATCTATTATCCAGGCAACAGCTGAAGACCCGGATGATGCTGTGCAATGGAACCAGCTAGGCCTTCATAGTCTCTGTTCTCAGCATTTTAAAACTGCACAAAAGTACCTCAAGGCTGCAGTTGTTCGATTTCGAGAATGCAGCAGCTATTCTTGGTCAAACCTAGGTATGCAACTCTCTCTTTAACCATCCTTCAAAACAAACAGTTAAATATCGAGTACTCAGTTGAAAGCATATATATATTCCCAGGCATCTCACTCCAATTATCCGAGGAGTCTTCGCAAGCCGAATGCGTATACAAGCGAGCACTTTCATTGGCATCAGCGGAACAAGCACATGCAATATTTTCCAACCTGGGGAATCTCTACCGACAACAAAAGCAATATGAACGCGCCAAGGCAATGTTTACGAAGTCGCTCGAACTCCAGCCTGGATATGCTCCGGCTTTTAACAATCTCGGTCTCGTGTTTGTCGCCGAGGGTCAATGGGAAGAAGCAAAGTTCTGCTTTGAGAAAGCGCTTCAGTCGGATCCGTTGCTTGATGCGGCCAAATCCAACATGATTAAAACTGTGGCCTTGTCTCGACTGTGTGCGGGTTTATCCTCGTTTCTCATACCCGATTAATGGACGTTGCTTGAAATATGTAAAATTGGGGTTTAAATATCTGTATATAGTGTACATTATGGAGGAAATGTGAAAGAACACGGCCTTGTATCTTTATGTGCAAATGTTTATCCCTTGTATGTTATAGTAAATCTTCAAATAAAGTACAATAAATCATTCACATTATTAAAAAACCTTATTGTAATAAACCTTGTATGCAAATGTGAAGGCAATGGACGCTCCTTGTATGTTTATTTATAAATAAAGTACAATAAACCTTATTGTAAGGGTGTTACTGTATTTTCACACTTCTATAAATCTTCAAATAAAACCATTAAAGCACATTATCAAAAAATTTAGTACATGAACATTTTAACACCCTATCTATAATCATTTAATGAATTAAAATAGTTTTTTAAAATAATATTTAATTATTTTTTAAAAAAAAAAGTTATGACAGTTTGTTGATTTTGTTTGATATTTTAGTGGGATTTTCTGTCATTGCTTCACTGTTGATGATGATTTTGATAACTGTGGATGTCACTGTAGGTGAAACGGCGTCAGAGATCCCATCGGTGGCAGGAGCAACAGGCGGCGGCGGCAGAAGCTACCTAGGGTTATGATGAAACCCTAGGTGAGTCGGGTCGGATTGTTGGGCCGGTTCGGGTCTCCTTCGGGTCGGGTTTGGTGCTTAAAATACATAGTTTAAGACTTTAAGTACTTAAAATAAAATACATATTTAAATATTTATTTTGATTAAAAAAGTAGTTTAGATATATAATAGTTTAAATACTTATTTTGATAAAAAATAGTTTAAGAACTAAAGGAAAAAAAGAAAATAATTTAGAGATTTTTTTTTTAAATTTAAGTCTTTAAAATCTATATTAAAGTTTTAAGGAGTATGAAATTATAAATTTTTTGAAATATTAAGAAAACATATAAACTATACGAGGATTTAAAATTTTTAAATACGACCATACCATTTGATCTATTCTTGATGTCAAAATCACTGGATCAATTATTACTTTTTTTTCCAATGTTTTTGATATCAACTATTATGTATAAAATTTAAAATTATATTATGTGCAAATTCGTTATATGTGTCAAAAATTATGAATTTATTACAAATATTTTCAATATTTATGAATTTTTGGCCAGTGGGGCTTTTTCTCACTCCGTTCATACAACATTGATTCGAACTTGTTTCAAACTTTGGTTGACCTAGTCGTCCAAGAAGCAAAAAATAGTTATTGGTCATTTTGACTCACTGAGTCTCGGTAAACTCTTTGACGCGTTCTTGGAAGAGACTAAAAACTTACTCAGAGCAACTTCATGTAGTGTTATTACTGTTGTATTTCTTCTCCACACAGACATATTGAAACCAATGTAATGATGTCCAAAAATCTAAAAGCTATGGCACAAATTTCCATGGTGCCGTAAGTGCTTTTGATGATGGAATTTGGCACTAGCTAAGTTTGAAATTTACAAAATTTATTATACAACACTCATCATGTCGGTCCCAAAATTTCCTTTCAATTTAGACAGATTGACATTTACATTATTTGGAGGCACTGTAATGGCCTTTTAAAAGGGACCGAATACTAATGGATGGGCAATGGTATCCGAGAGTGCCTACTAATACCATGATATCAAAGCTACTAAGTTGCTCTCTTTTCTTGCATTGCATTCTTTGTAAGTTGGATCATGTTGAATCCAGGATAACAAGTAATGAGACTGAAATACAAGCATTGCTTGCCTTCAAGGCTCGGATACTAATCGATCCATATGGGGTGTCCGGCTCTTGGAATGATTCTCAACATTTCTGCAACGGGAGTAACATGAGGTCGGCGGCATCGAAGAGTCACTTCCCTGCATCTTTCATCTCTCAAATTGGCAGGAGACCTTCTCCTTACATAGCCAACCTTACGTTCCTTAGGGTGATCAACCTGCAGAACAATAGCTTCCGTGGTCTGATCCCCAAGAAGTTACTCGATTGCATCGTCTAGAGAAATTGAGTCTCATCAACAACTCCTTCCAAGGTGAACTTCCGAGAAACCTTAGTCTTTGTTCGAACCTAAAAGTCATCGAGTTAGCCGGATATTTGCTCGGTGGGGAAATAACTGCTGAGCTCGGTTCTTTGTCTAGGCTCCAAACTCTTCAACTATCCGCGAACAACTTCATAGGAACAACCCCCCTTCATTAGGAAACATCTCTTCTCTCCTTCATCTTCCCTGATGCGGAACCACCTCGAAGGAAACATTTCTGACGGAGCTCGGGCGACTCTCGAGCTTGACATTTCTTCATTTGTCTTCAAACAATCTCTCCGGTATAGTTCCTGAACAACTGTATAAAATCTCATCCGTTAATGCCTTTTCTTTAGCTGCTAACAAGTTACAAGGCCACATCCTTCGGTACATAGGCTTGAGGCTCCCTAATCTTAAGGGCATTTATCTTGGTGGCAACAATTTTTCAGGGGAAATTCCAACATCAATAGTCGATTCCTCAGGGCTCATGGACCTTGATAGGGCCAACAATGCCTTGACGGAACTAATACCAAAGAATTTGGGAAGCCTTCAAAATCTAACAATCTTGAATTTTGGAGGCAACTTACCTGAGAGTTCCAATGATTTAAGTCTTCTCACTTCATTGAGTAATTGCACCGTTCTTAGTATCTTATGGTTATACCAAAACAACCTCACAGGCGTTTTACCAGATTCAATCGGTAACCTGTCTACAAATCTCATTGGTTTCAGAATAAATTCGAATTATATATCCGGTACCATACCGAAAGAGATAGGAAACCTTGTAGGCTTGGAGTATCTTGCATTACATAAAAACATGCTTACAGGCAGTATGCCTGATTCTATTGGAAAACTTTCCAAGTTGAAACATTTCGATGCGTACACTAATAGAATCATAGGGGAAATTCGTCATTCTTTGGTGAATATAACACAACTTATTGTTCTCAACCTAGTTGATAATTTGTTAGGGGGAGAAATATCTGCAGCTTTGGGTAGCTGCAGTTACTTGGAACGACTGATCTTTCACAGAATCGTCTAAATGTCACAATTCTAAAGGAAGCTTTCAGTCTTTGTTCTCATTTGATATACCTTCTCTTTGCTTCAAATAGTTTAACGGGAACTTTACCACCAGAGGTTGGAAAATTCAAAGACCTCGACATGATGGATGCATCAAGCAACAAACTTCATGGGGAAATTCCCAGCTCTCTTGAAAACTGTGTGATGTTTGAATCACTTCACCTGTAGAGGAACCCTTTTGAAGGAACTATTCCGCTTCGTTCTGAAAATTACGAAGCTTACAAGTTCTTCATGTTTCCCACAATAATTTGTCAGGGCAAATTCCAAAGTTTCTAGGTGAACTTCCTCTTTTCATATCTCAACCTGTCTTTTAATAGCTTTGAAGGCAAGGTACCAACAAAATGAGTGTTCCGACAATGTTGAAAATTCAATATTAGCCTAAATAAGTTCACACCTAAATTAATTTGATGTCATTGCTTACATCAATTTAATTTTTATGTCATTGCTTACATCAATTTAGTTAGGTGAAAATTAAGTATTTTTCTCATGTTTTAATTTCAATGGTTTAGATTATTTAGTGCTTATTTTAATGAGTGGTTTAGATTGTTTCTTGTAACCTATAAATACCCTACTTGTATTTGAGTTTTATCATCCAACAATCAAAGCTTAATTATAAGCATTTAAAAGCTTTCTTAAGAATTCTTCCCTTTTGCAATTTTGTGAGATTATTCTAAAGAGTTTTTTTTTCTTCTTCTCGATCAGTTAGAGTTTTTACTCTATTTTGATTCAACAATTGGTATCAGAGCCACATTTTTAAGGTCTCTTGAAATTCTGAGTATGCTCTGTGGCTGCAGTTTTTAACTGATCTTCCACATCAGAAAATATTTCTTGAGTTATTGTCGGGGTTATTACAAACCTTGTGGAGCTTCTTTGTGTTTAGAGTAATTTAGTACTCTGCACGTTTGTTACTCAAGCTTGTTCGGTGTAGTCAAAGCCTTGCCGTTAAGATGGGTGATCTTCAAGTAGTTGGAGGGATCAAGAAGCTCAACAACAAAAACTACAACACGTGGGCAACATGTATGGAGTCATACTTACAAGGTCAAGACCTTTGGGAGGTTGTCGGTGGTGGTGAAGTTACACAACCGGCGACAGAAGATGCCAATGGAATCTTGCGAAAATGGAAAATTAAAGCAGGCAAAGCAATGTTTGCTTTAAAGACTACAATTGAAGAAGAAATGTTAGAGCACATTCGGGATACTAAAACACCAAAGGAAGCATGGATACTTTTGTTACACTCTTTTCGAAGAGGAACGATACAAAATTGCAACTTCTCGAGAATGAACTTCTATCAATGGCGCAACGCGACATGGCGGTTGCCCAATACTTTCATAAGGTGAAGTCGATATGTTGCAAATTTCAGAATTAGATCTGACAGCTGCTATTGGGGAAGCCAGGATAAAAAGAATAATTGTCCATGGTTTGAGACCCGAATATCGAGGGTTTGTTGCCGCTGTACAGGGATGGCCGACACAACCATCGCTTGTTGAGTTCGAAAATTTGCTTGCAGGTCAAGAAGCCATGGCCAAGCAAATGGGAGGAGTCTCGCTGAAGGGTGAAGAGGAAGCGCTCTACACCAGCAAAAGACTGGTGAAAAATTAAAGGAAATGGAGGCCCTCATTCAGGGGGAGCATCCAAGAATCGCGGTAATAGTAGAAAGTTCGATGGCAAGTGTTATAACTGCGGGAAGATGGGTCACATGGCAAAAGACTATTGGACTAAGAAAAAGCCTGTTGAAAGTAATACTGCTACTTCTTGTTCGAAGGAGAATAGTGAAGATGGTTGGGATGCTGAAGCGTTATTTGCTACGGAGGAAGAAGAATTAGCTCTCACGGTAACAACACCAGAACGGATTGACTATAAGAATGATTGGATCGTAGATTCTGGCTGCTCAAATCATATGACGGGTGACAAACAGAAGTTACAAAACCTGTCTGAGTATAATAGAGGTCGTGTGGTGGTGACAGCTGACAACTCAAGGTTACCGATAACTCACATCGGTAAGACAATAGTTACGCCTCGATATAATACTAACCAGGTGCAACTCCAAGATGTTTACCATGTCCCAGGAATGAAGAAAAATTTTCTATATGTGGCTCAACTAACATCATCAGGCCATTATGTCTTATTTGGTCCCCAATACGTGAAGGTTTATCGTGACGTCAAAATCTCAGAAACACCAACAATGGAGGGACGACGTTTGGAATCAATTTACGTGATGTCAGCAGAGTCTGCATATGTAGACAAGACAAGGAAAAATGAGACATCAGATCTATGGCACATGCGGTTAGGTCGCGTTAGCTATTCCAAGCTAAGTGTGATGGTGAAAAAGTCGATGCTTAAGGGGCTTCCTCAACTAGACGTGAGAACAGACACGGTCTGTGCGGGATGCCAGTATGGTAAAGCACACCAATTACCATATGACGAGTCGAAGTTTAAAGCAAAAGAACCGTTGGAGTTGGTTCACTCTGATGTGTTCGGACCGGTTAAGCAACAATCAATTAGCGGTATGCGGTATATGGTAACATTCATTGATGACTTCTCCAGGTATGTGTGGGTTTTCTTTATGAAAGAAAAATCTGATACTTTCTCAAAGTTTAAAGAGTTCAAAGACTCAGCTGAAAAGAGAAGTGGGAAAGAAGATATGTTGCTTGCGCACAAACAACGGAGGAGAATATAGATCAAACGAGTTCTCTCAATACCTAAGGGAATGCCGAATACGTCATCAGTACACTTGTGCCAACATGCCAAAACAGAATGGTGTAGCGGAAAGAAAAAACCGGCATCTTGTAGAAATTTGTCGAAGTATGCTACATGCAAAGAATGTACCTGGAAGGTTTTGGGCTGAAGCAATGAGGACTGCAGCCTTTGTGATCAACAGACTTCCTCAACCAAGGTTAGGATTTGTTTCACCCTTTGAGAAACTATGGAACATAAAACCTACAGTTAGCTACTTTCGAGTATTTGGCTGTGTATGTTATGTGTTTGTTCCTGATCATTTACGGAGCAAATTTGACAAGAAAGTTGTTAGATGTATCTTTGTGGGATATGACAGCCAGAGAAAGGGGTGGAAATGTTGTGATCCAATTAGTGGAAGATGCTACACGTCACGAAATGTGGTATTTGATGAAGCATCTTCTTGGTGGTCCTCAGAGAATGAGGTGTTGCCAGATTCGAGAGAATTTGGAGACAAGCTACAACAAAAGATGGGGGAGCATGTTGTTCAACTCCAAACAAGTTCAGATGAATCAGAAGATCCAAATGGCGATGATGTCGAACAAAGAGTGACTCAGAATCCTTGGCAAACTGGCGTGTATCAACAACCAAACGAAGAAGGTGGGCCTAGTGAAACAGAAGAATCAATTCCACAATCTCAACTCCGAAGGTCAACAAGAATACGAATGCCAAATCCCAAATATGCCAATGCAGCCATAATTGAATAAGCAACGGAGCCTGAGACGTTCGAAGAAGCATCGAAGAGTTCTGAGTGGATGACAGCTATGAAAGAAGAGATCGATGTACTTCAGCAAAATCAAACTTGGGATATTGTACCAAAGATAAAAGATGTGAAACCCATATCTTGCAAATGGGTTTACATGATAAAGCGCCGTCCAGATGGGTCAATCGAGAGGTACAAAGCGCGATTGGTAGCTCGTGGTTTCTCTCAACAGTATGGACTAGACTATGATGAAACATTTAGTCCAGTGGCGAAACTTACAACCGTACGAGTCTTACTTGCACTTGCAGCCAACAAAGACTGGAACTTATGGCAGATGGATGTGAAAAATGCTTTTCTTCATGGAGAACTAGATCGAGAGATCTACATGACCAACCAATGGGTTTTCAGAGTCAAGATCATCATGAATATGTGTGTAAGCTGCGAAAAGCACTCTACGGATTGAAACAAGCACCTAGGGCGTGGTATGGTAAGATTGCTGAATTTCTAACGAAAAGTGGTTATTCAGTAACACCTGCAGATTCTAGCTTGTTTGTCAAAGCCAATGAAGGTAAGCTAGCTATCGTGCTAGTGTACGTGGATAACTTAATCATAACCGGTGATGATGAGGCAGAAATTCTTCAGACGAAGGAGAATTTATCAGTTCGTTTACAGATGAAGGAACTTGGACAACTTAAGCACTTCCTTGGTCTAGAGGTTGATCGCACACACGAAGGAATGTTTCTATGTCAACATAAATATGCTAAAGATTTGTTGAAGATGTTTGGAATGCTCGAATGCAAGTCAACTTCAACGCCAATGGAACCAAATATCAAAATGTGTGCATATGAAGGAAAAGATTTGGAAGATGCAACAATGTATCGACAATTGGTAGGTAGTCTGATCTACTTAACCTTGACCCGACCTGACATTTCTTATGCAGTTGGTGTGATGAGTCGGTATATGCAAAATCCAAAGAAGCCTCATTTGGAAGCAGTTCGACGAATACTGAGATATGTGAAGAATACAATTGACTATGGTCTTTTGTACAAGAAAGGTGAAGACTGCAAGTTAGTTGGTTATTGTGATGCTGATTATGCAGGAGATCATGACACCAGGAGATCAACAACTGGATATGTGTTTAAGCTTGGCTCCGGAACAATTTCTTGGTGTAGCAAAAGACAACCAACGGTATCATTGTCAACCACTGAAGCTGAGTATCGAGCAGCAACAATGGCAGCTCAAGAGAGTACATGGTTGATACAGTTGATGAGTAATCTACATCAACCAATAGATTATGCAATTTCGTTGTATTGTGACAACCAATCGACAATTCGGCTGGCGGAGAATCCTGTCTTTCATGCAAGAACTAAACATGTGGAAGTACATTACCACTTTGTTAGGGAAAAAGTTTTGCAAGAAGAGATTGAGATGAGGCAAATCAAGACAGATGAGCAAATTGCTGACTTGTTTACAAAAAGCTTGAGTGTTGGAAAGTTTGAACATTTCTGTCGTCAGCATGGCGTGATTCAAAGAATGGAGGCTAACATTGAGGGGGAGTGTTGAAAATTCAATATTAGCCTAAATAAGTTCACACCTAAATTAATTTGATGTCATTGCTTACATCAATTTAGTTTTTATGTCATTGCTTACATCAATTTAGTTAGGTGAAAATTAAGTATTTTTCTCATGTTTTAATTTCAATGGTTTAGATTATTTAGTGCTTATTTTAATGAGTGGTTTAGATTGTTTCTTGTAACCTATAAATACCCTACTTGTATTTGAGTTTTATCATCCAACAATCAAAGCTTAATTATAAGCATTTGAAAGCTTTCTTAAGAGTTCTTCCCTTTTGCAATTTTGTGAGATTATTCTAAAGAGTTTTTTTTTCTTCTTCTCGATCAATTAGAGTTTTTACTCTATTTTGATTCAACAGACAACATCAGTGCTTTCCCGATCATCAGAAACGAGTTATGCGCATGGATTATGCTACTTCGATTGCCTACTTGCCCCAAAGAAATTGCAAAGAAAAGGAAAAACTTACCACGTAGAGCTATAATTGTGATCGACATTGTTCTCTTTGTTGTTTTGTTCTTGACATGCCTCTTTGCAGTCAAACGACGGGTTAGCTTGTCTAAAAAGAAAGAGGGCATTGCCAGCCCATTGGAGGAGAAACATCTGAAGCTTTCCTAGGACGAGCTCCTCCGTGCGGTTTCTCTTCAGCCAACTTAATTGGTAAGGGGAGATATGGTTCAGTCTATAAAGGAATTCTAAGTTCTGATGATCAAACGACAATTGCTGTGAAAGTATTTAATCTTCAACAGTTGGGAGCCGACCACACTTTCAAGGCTGAATGTGAAGCCCTTAGGAAGCTTACGTATCGAAATCTCGTCAAGGTAATTACTTCCTGCTCAAGCATTGATTTTCAAGGCAACAACTTCAAAGCCTTGGTGTTCGAGTGAATGGGAGCTTAGAAACTTGGTTACATGCAAGTTCAACCGAGGTACACAAATCACCAAGCTTAAGGTGGTGTTTGTTTTTACAGAGGTAAAAAGTTTGCAGTTTGCGGACCACATCTGCAAGCATCTGCAGCAGAAGAGGTGGAGCAAAAGTCTGCAGTCTGCAAGAAGAAGACTGTTTGTTTTTTAACATCTGCATATTGCTAAAATAAACTGAAATATAAATAAACTGATTTTTTAAACTTAAAAGAGTTTTGCAATACTGAGATTTAAATAATTTTAGTTTTACAATACTGAAATTTAAATAATTCATACAACTACAATAATAAATTTTTTAGAAAAACAAGCACCACCTTATTAATTCTATTATAAGTCTCACATAATCACATGTATTATTAGTTTTATAAGTTTTATAGAATAAAATTTATAAATGATCATTAAATTATATGATTTTTTTAAATATGCAATTATGTAATACTTTTAATTTTTTTAAATATATATTCATAATTTTTTTATAATTATATGATATTTTTAGAAAATATTTTTTAATTTATCAAATTATTTTATGATTATTTTTAATTTAATTGTGATTATATTTTAAAATTTTAAAAACATAATTTATAATTTTTTATATTTGAAAATCTTAATTATCAAACAATGAAATCATTTTTTATTAAGCAATGTGGTTTAAATTCTTACATTTTGTATAAAAAGTTTAAATATAATTTAAAAATAACAATCCAAAAAATATTATATTTAAACTTAAATCAAAATAATTAAAATAAATATAAAATTTTAATAATATATAAAATAATTTATATGATATAAAATTAAATATCTATAATATAATATTAAAAAATTAATTTTTATTTTATTTTAAAAATTAATATTAAAATTAATATCTATAATATAATATTAAAATTAATATTTAATTTATTTAAAAAATTAATATTAAAATCAAATATAATATAAAATTAAATATAAAACCTTTTGAAGAGGTTAGAAGACGTCTGTAGACATAAAACCACGTCTGCGCCGCGCAGACCACGCGCAGACGTTAGAAAAGTTTATGTCTTCTAAAAAACAGACGGTCTGCGAAGCCCAATGTCTGCGCGTGATCTGCGCGGCACAGACATAAAAACTTTACAAACCTTATACAATAAAAACAAATACCACCTAAATTTAATTCAGAGGCTCAACATTGCCCTTGATGTAGCCTCTGCATTAGATTATCTTCATTCCCAATTCGACAGGCCGGTCATCCATTATGATCTAAAGCCGAGCACTGTTCTTCTTGATGCTGACCTTACAGCCCACTTTAGTGATTTTGGCCCAACAAGATTTCTTTCGGAGACAACTGAGCAATCCATTTCCGAGCAAAGCAATTCGATGGGAATAAGAAGAACCATGGGATATATTCCTCCAGGTAGTTCCGTTCCATATTAGCAAATTAGATGCATATTTATTCAGCTTAATGATCTTGTCTAGAAATGCAGAATATGGAATGAGAAAGAAAATATCCACACACGTGACATGTACAGTCACGGCATCGTTTTGATGGAGTTGTTTACCGGCAAAAGACCGACCGACAACATGTTTACCGGAGAGTTGAGCCTATGCGAGTATGTAAAGACGGCCATGCCCGATGATGTGGTGGAGATAGTTGATACTAGGCTAAACTTTGAAGATGAAGCAACCTTCAATCAAAATGGCCAAAGCAGCAGAGTCATCGACAACATTGTGAAATGCTTGAGCTCGGAGCTCTGTATAGGAGTGTCCTGCTCGGGTGATTCACATAGTGAACGAATGAACATCAAAGATGTGCTTAAAGAACTTCACAAGGCTAGAAATATGCTTCTTGGAGATCAAAGGAGAAGAGCGTAGCAAGCTTTTGTGCATCAGAGAAGTCGTTACAGTTTCGTGTAAAAAAATATTATATAAATATGATATTGGGGTAGAATTGTCACTATTTTCTCTTTTTTTAATAGCTCAAATTAAATTAAATAAAAGTGTTAAATATGGTTTTGGTAATAGGTCTAAAGTGATTACATTGACAGTTCCTTTAGGTGTTGCACTTTTTACATTTCATTCCTCTTATTTCTCTTGATTTTCATGAAACTTACTCAAAAATATGAATTTAGATATAAAAATTAATATTTTTTAGAGATTTAAGGGTTTTTTTTAGATTAGAAGAGTTTCAAGTATTTATTAAAAAATCTAAATGGCGGAAAATATCATTTTGAGAAGATAAACAATTTATCTCAAAGCTAGCATCATCGTAAGTATTAGTATATCAAACTTTTAAATAAATTTTCATCGATTTTGAGTGGGTTTTGTGGAAAATCAATTCTAAGAGAAAACATATGAGAGAAATGTGATCGTTTTGATATTGATGTTGTTGCGAAATCGATGACGGATGATTATTGGCCGTCAACAATGACCGAAAAAGTTTAGTACCTAAAATTGAATCTTTTTAAATTTTAGTGACAAAATTGACACGCCCTTAAAATTGAATACTTAAAATGACGTCGTTTTGTCCATGTAATCACTATAACGAAAAACTATCCACATCATCGTAACGTTAAAATTTAACGTCCGAGTAATATATTAAAGTTAAAATTAGAATTTAATATTACAAACAATACACTACTTAAATTCAATAGCATAAACGACATAAAGATTAATAGTATCTAGTATAGTTTATTCTTTTTACATATCACATTTAAATTATTTATTATATTAAGTGAAAATATGTTTACAGATTATTTTACATCTAAAATTTAAATATCAATTTAGAATTATGTAATAATTTAGATATATTATATGTAATTAACCCTTACAAGTCACAATTATACTAGTTTTGAGTGACTTTATTTTATCTTCGTTGTTTTCCCTCCACGTGGCATTAGATGGATGGTGCCATCTTTGCAACAATTGTGGAGCTATAGTGCCATCACTCCATACTGCAACTCCCATTTTTCTTCTTTCTTTCTCTTTTTCCTTCTTAACTGTTATCTTATCTTAAACAACGGATTTAATTTTTTTATTAAAATAGATAGAAAATAAATGAATGAGTGTACAACACATCTCATGCATCGATATGCACGGGTATAAATGTATAAATAGTCATTAAATAATAGTAAAATATTTTGTCATTAAACTTTTAAAAATTATAAAATGGGTATAAAATTTGTATTTTTTTAAAAAAAGTATTATTACTTAAAATATTGAAAAATATCAAAAATAAATTTTTAATCATAATTGATGGAATAAATAAGATATTTTTTATAAAAAAATATAAAAGAAGTATTAAAATAGGAATTAAAAAAGTTTAAATTTCAAAATAACACATATGTTTCTTAGGTAATTATTACATCTTATTGTTCTATTTTGCTTGTTATTAGTATTTTCGGTTGAAGATGATTTTGTTTGATACGAGCCTATTGTTAAAGTGTATTTATTCATAGTTCTTTTAATATATTATTTTTAGGGATAGATTAAAAACCGTTAGAGAAAGTCTAATAAAATTTTAAATTACACTCTATAATCTATACTCATCTTGAATTGTTAACTATTTTAATTTAATTTATTATTATTATAGTAATAATTTATATAAATTTTAATATTTATTAAATTTATACTTTTTTCTCATCTTATAATAAAATTTTGTTGTGACTATCAAATCTAAAATATTTTAAATTATTTCTTACTTAAATATAAGATTTTTTAATTAAAACTAAAAAAATAGATAAAATACGATAAGTATTGAATTATATTTAATTAATTTTAAATTACATTTTCATAATTATAGAAATTTATAGATAAAAAGTATTTTAATATAAAAAGTTTTAATTTTTTATCATATAAAATAAATATAAATATATTTAATTAAATAAAAATACTTAAACATGAAAATACTCATACAAGAAACGTATAGAAAGAAATAGGTTTTTAATTTTTATAACAATTTACATGTAGATAGATCAATAGTTAATATTTTTAATATTTTTATTAGTTACGTAGTAATTAAAATTAATATTTATGTAATTTTATAATTAAATTCGCATTAAAATATTATCTTAGATTGTAAGAGCTTTCGAGTACTATTTTAGTTAGGATCAATTATTTGGGCCACCATTTGCGTTCCAAAGTGTTAAGAAAAGGAAATCTTTGCCCCTTAAACCATGCATGACTGCTGACCCTTTTCTTCTTCATAGTTTCCTTTAGTTTTACCTTCTTCTTCCTCCTCCTCCTCCTTTAGGTCATCAAGAAGTTACGAGCCTGCGATAGCAAAACAAATCCTTCCATTTTCATTGTTCCCCTTTATGTAAACCATGAATTCACCCTCTTTGTCGAAGCTCCCTATCCTCCTTAAACCTTTTCTTCTTTCTCTCTTTCTCTCCATTTGTTTCCTAGTCTTTTTAGCCACCCAATCCCCTCTCCTCCGCCTCAAAACCGCCATTCAGACCACAGCCAATCCACCTTCCAACGGAGGCGCCGGCCTCAGTATCCGACGGGGCTATACCTCCTACAACGCATACATTGAGCGTCAGCTCAACAAAACCCTTAACCCAAAGCTCCGAAAGATATGGACGACGCGTGATTGGGAAAGAAAAATCAAGGTCTTCGCCCGTGTTTTCCAGAGCTTGAAGCAAAGAAATCTCATTTTCAACGAGTCGAAGGCCTTGTCCATAGGAGCTAGAGTCGGACAAGAGGTGGCAGCGATGAAGGTGGTCGGAGTGTCGGACGCCATCGGCATCGATCTGGTGCCGTACCCTCCGCTCGTAATGAAAGGAGATTTCCACGCGCAGCCGTTCCAGAACCAGACATTCGACTTCGAGTTCTCCAACGTCTTCGATCACGCGCTGTACCCGTGGAAGTTCGTCGGGGAGATCGAACGGACGTTGAAGCCCGGCGGGGTTTGTGTCCTACATGTGGCGGTGACACGACAGACCGATAAGTTCTCGGCCAATGATCTGTTTAGTGTGCAGCCATTGCTGGGGTTGTTCAAGGAATCGAAGCTTTTGGAGGTGAGGAAAGTTGATGCATTTGGTCTCGATACTGAGGTTGTTTTTAGGAAGAAGAAGATCAAGGATTATTAGATAACTTCTCTTGTTTAAACAGTAATTCCATTTTTCCATTTTTTACATCCCATTAATTTAAACTATATATATTTATCAATGGTTGCGTATTTTATTTTATTTTACGTTGTTGAGACTTGAAAGTTGAACAACTAGTTAGTTCACGTGAGTAAAACAAATTGTATTCACATTATTGCATGTAAAATTTAAATTTAATTAATTGAAATATTAAATATATACTGAATAATATAAACTATTAAATATTTTAAAAATTAAAACTATAATTAGAATAACCTAAAACATAAATTACAATAAATTGATTCCTTTTTTACTACGGACAAAAGCAAAAAGGCTGAAAACCCCCATTGATTCAGGGAGCCACTCCAAGTGTGAAACTGGGAAAGGAGAAAAGTAAAAAAATAAAGGAAGAAACAAATAGAGGCCATTAAAGCTTACGAGTAATATATTATACAATACATGTCTTTTTCAGCTTAGCAATAGCCGTTACGATGAAAATGAAATAGACAACGGCATATACCTTGGCTTGTGAAAATTAATTTTAAAATTAAATTTATTTGTTGGAAAATTTGGATAAGAATGAATTAGAGAAAGAGCATATTAGATGGAGGATGATTGGCGTATAGTGGAGGACAAAATGTGGGGTACCAATGAATAATGTTAGCTTTGTTTTGAGTTGGTGTGTTGGAACTATTATTATTATTAAATGCATCAAACTAATTATTAGATTAATTGTAAAAAAAACATGAATAATAATGCTTAAGTTGCTTTTCTTTGCTTTGTAATAATTCGTTTAAAAACTAATCATTGACTGCCCGACTGCCTTTAAATAAGTGGGGTTAACGTGATGAATGAATTAAAATTTCACACCTAAGAGAATATTTTTAAATAATTTAATTTATTCTTAATTTAATAAGTCTAAATGATAAAAAAAAATTATTCTCTCTTAGATATTCGATTTCGAACGTGTTTATAAAATATATAAGATGTCAATAATTAAGAAACAAATATACTTTACAATCTGGGGAGGGTATTAGAAAAATCTCATAGATACAACATTTAACAACATTCACGGTCATGATTTGTTGCACTAGGATATAAATGTAGATATTTTAATGGTTGGATGGTAGAATACAAGTGAAAGATAAGGTGGCATTCATTTGGAAGAGGAGAGTTTATTGCGGAATTTAATAGGCATAGATAGACTTTGTTGTATAGTTGGCCATTAAGCCCATGACATACAATATATATTATTTTAAATATAAAAAGACATCCCGTGAATTTTAGTTTAATATGAAGAAAGCTCAACTGTCTATGGTGATACTATTGATATTATTAAATTAAATT